TCTCTGTACTGAGCACTTGGCATTCAATCCCCGTAGAGAACCGACAAAGGTGGTTCTCCGGTTGTTCCAGCGCATGGTGAGGACAGGGATTTGAACCCTGGGTCTGTGTGACTCCACAACCTGTGTGTGTCTCAGAGAATAGACAATGGCAGCCAGAGAAAGAGTGGAGCAGAGGAGGGGAGATGGGCAGGCACAGTGTTCCAGGATATGCGGCAGGAGGCCCGAGCCAGCGCCAGGAACATAGGATGGAGATGCAGGGAGTGGGATCTGCAGATGGTGGCTGAGGGATGAGGAAGAGGAGGGATTTGAGACTGGCACCCAAGTTATTCGCTGGGCTGCCTAGGTCCCCTGTGGCCCACAAATTCTACTTTCCTATATGAGAGACTTCCATCCTGACACTTGAGGAAAATTGTCCATCTTCCAAGTGGGATTCTGAGTTCTCCAAGCATTGGATGACCTTGGCTCTGAAGGAACAATTAGCGACAATCTTCTAGGTAGGGAGTGTTGTAATGTTAGAATGAACCTCATCTGAGGGTGTTTGAAAACTTTTTATCAAATATATATAGTATATGTGATTGATATAAATATTTATATATCATTGATACATGTGTAAGTATGAATATATATATATATTCACAAATTTTTGTTGAACTTAAGCTTCAGAGACGAGTTCATCATACTCTTTAGTTAATGACATTTTATAACATTGATTTGCACAGTGATCCTGTTTTATTTATTCCCATTTATCGTCATGTCCCACTCCTGTTCCCACCCCCAAAAGGCAGCGGGTCTAATTTGTTCCATGTGTATCCTTCTGTTTGCATGAATTCTTATAAAACATATGTTGTGGCACATACATGTGTGGACTGTTACACATTATGCTGTGCTGGAGGTCCTATATTCTTCTAATTTTTCACCTAGCATTACGTTTTTAAGAGCTATCCCTGCTAGTATATAAATGTCAGGTTTTTTTTTTTTCTTTCCTAAATGTTGTTTAGAGCTCCATGGTGCACACCCGCCACATTTTAATTCTCCACTCCCACAGGTAGTGGGGGTCTCACACTGTCCCCATCTCTCTGCCAACGCAGACAATGCTGCAATGAATGTCCTTGATGGCATCCCTTCACTGACCTGTGTAACAATTTCATTCAGATGGAGACCCAGGAGCACTGTTTGTGGGACTTAGGGCAAGTGTTCTCTTAATTTGGCCACGAACAACCACGTACCTGTCAGAATGACTGAAGTCCACCGATCTTCACATCTGGGCCAACACATAGCAGCATCCAGCTTCCTAAGTTTTGCTGCCCTAACAGGTGTAAAGTGACCCAATGTTGCTGTTTTAAATTGCATTTCTCTAACTGCTAATGAGCTACGGCGGGTCTTCATTTTCTGTTTGCCTATTGCATTTCCTCGTCCGCACATCCCCTGTGCCTACCCTTGGCCCACTTCCTATCATGATTCCAGTCTTTTTTCTAATTGGTTTGTAGACAGTCTTTGTAGATTCTAGATATTAATCTCCTGTCAGTTTTTGTCCAGCTTTATTGAGGTATACATAATTTATAAAAACTACATATATTTAATGTATTCATTTTGATGAGTTTGGACATATGCCTACATTGACAATACCATCATCACAGTCAAGGTAATAAGCATATCCATCACCTCCAAAAGGTTTCTCGTGTCCCTTTACTTTTTTGTGTGTGTAGTAAGAACACTTCACATGAGATCAACTCTCTTCACAATTTTTTTTAGTGGAAATATATTTGACATATAACACTGTGTAAATTTAAAATGTGCATGTTAATTTGATACATTTATGTATCTAAATATATGATTGCCATTGTAGCAATAGCACCTCTGTCACATCACATAATTATCATTTCTTTTGTGTGGTGGGAATAATTAAGATCTAGTCTCTTAGCAAGTTTGATGGTTATAATACAATATCATTGTCTATATTCTTAAGTTTTTAAGTGCACATTATCCTATTGTTAACTTCAGGTTCTATGGTGTACAGCAGATCTCTAGAACTTGTTTGATATTGCAAACATCTTGCTCTCCCTCATCTGTTAACTTTATCTGTGATGCTCTTCATATGATTTGTTATTTGGATGTGATGGGATTGACCTTTTTAATTTATGGTTCGTGCTTTTTTTTTTCTTTTTAAAGAGCTCGTTTCCTGTTCTTAGATCACAAAGATCCTACCACACTTTCTCTTAACAATTATGTTTTTATCTTTAGCAATTAAGTTATTAATCCATCTTGGTCTTCTCTTCGTACAGGTGCTAATTGAGAATCCAGTTTTTTTTTTTTTAATCTATTCAGAGAGATAATCTTCTCTACAGCATCCCCTAAACAATCGGTCCTTTTCTGATTTATTTGTGGTGTGACCTTAACCATAACCATGGCTTCATATCTGAAATTTCCGTCCTGAACCACTCGTCTGTTTGTCTGTCCCTGAAATAATCATACCTTGCTTTATTTCCAAGACATTCTCAGAATCTCAGAAGGCAATTTCCTCCACCACCTTTCACTCTTCGTTTCAGGGTTGACTTGGTTATTTTATCATCTTTCTCAAAAAATCCAACTGGATTTTTTGGGAAATATCATATTGGATGTATAGATTAAATTTGGAGAAGAATTAGCATCTTTATGATGTCACCTTTCCATTTTATTCACTACTTTGCATCATGTGCCATGTTTTCTATTAATTAAAAGTTTAATTGTTCTCCGTAGAGGTCTTATGTGTGGTTATTTAAATTAATTATAAATACTTGATAGATTTAGTACTACTTTAGATGGTACCTTGTTGTTTTTTTAAACTAATTTTAAACTTACAAAAAATGTTGCAATAATAACACAGAAAATTTTTATACTTTCCTTACTCAACTTCCTCAAATGTCGGCATCTTACTGAACCCCAGTACAATGATCAAAACTAGGAAATTAACATCGGCATAATATAATATAACTACTGATCTTATTAGAATTTTTCCATTTTTTCCACTAATATCTTTTTTTCTATCCCAGGCCACTAAATTTCATTTAGTCATTTCAACTTTTCATTATCATTCAGTTCTTAGTATTTCTTAATTTTCCTTTTAGCCCAAAGATTAGTGAGTAATATGTTACGATAGCACTGTCAAATGGTTCAACCTAATATTTGTGTTCCAAATATATGGGAACTTTTAGGTATCCTCTTCTTATTAATTTTCAATTTTATTGCAGTATGGTCAGATAACCTGGGTCTTTGCAATATTGGCACTTGGAAATTCACCTAGACTCCCTTTATGGCTTCACACAAGGTCCTTTTTGGTGACAATTCCATGTTATTACCATGTTTTTTTGGGGGGGGGTTGGTGTGTTTTTGGTGTAGTGAATAGGAGTATGTGCACATTTTTGAGTTTGTGTATGTTAAATATATATAAGTATATGTGTATATTAGCTATTTTATTAATATATATTTACATATAATAGCTCAAGTATTAAATAAAACGACAGAATTAAGTCCAAAATAGCAATATAACAAAAAAGATAAGTGCAGTAAATGCACCAATTAAAATATACATGTAATCATAGGTTGCTACAATTTATGAGAATTTAATTCTTGTCATTATGCTTGTTCTCAATCCTAACTTCTTGAGTGTTTATTCCAGACACTGTGGAAGGCAACTTATGTGCTTATCTTATTTAATCCTCATAACAACCTTGTCATCCAGGGGTTGTCATTACCTACTTCCTTTTAGGGATGAGAAAACTAAGGTTCAAAAAGAGTAAGTAACCAACTCAATGTTGTTGTTGTTGAATCACTATTTTTTTTTTTATTTATCATTATTTTTTTTATTATGGTGGCATTGGTTAATGAAATCCAGTAAGTCTACTGTGAATAATGTTGTTGTTGAAGCACTATTTTGTTTTTTTATTATTTTTTAAATTAATTCTTTTTATTTATTTTTATTGTGGTGACGGTTAATGAAGAACTATTTTAAAACAGCTTCTCAAATTTATTTAACTCATATGGATAACATGATAGAATTTTGTATGAAAAGGAAAAAGCCACCACTTAATAGTTACTAAGCTTTGCAGGCAGCTCAGAGTTTAGGCAGCATATTTGAGCATAGTGATCATGGGATTCGCATTACCCTTTCAGATTTTTCCAGCACCAGATTTTTCCAATTCGAAAATTTTATTAAAGATTAGAGAATAATAATAAGAAGAAGACTGAATTTTGCTTTCTTCTTTAATTTTCTATTCTTTAGAAAAATGACTAGGGGCAATGACAAGCTCTGAAGTGGGGACTCTGGAACTGTAGAACCAGCTCAGACTGGTCTCGTCCTGTTTCTAACAAGACTCGAAATCAAGATTTAAACCTTGGATACACCACTCATGAGTGGCACTTGTGAACCCTTAACTTGCTCCCCCCACAGAATCAAGGGACTGGGGCATGACTAGACTCTGAGGGCCAGAAGCCTTTCAGAAGCAAGGGTCCATTGTCCAGGAAGCTCCTCGAATTTTTCCCCTTAAATCTTGCCCCGAACACTGGATGGGGAGACCTTTGAGCCTTGCCTCCTGTTTCCTTATTGGCTAACTTCGTAAATAAAAGCTCTTCTTTTTTTCAAAAACTGGTGCCATGGTATTGGCTTCTATGCACGTTGGGCAGTGAGCCCGTGCTCAGTGACAACTCCACCCAGATGTGGCTGAATATAGACCTTGTGTTCCTGCCACTGGGATTTAAAAATAGTAAATTATAATTATTATTTACTTGTTGAATTCTTACAATATACTAGGAACTGTGCTAAGTATTTTAGTTGCATGGTCTTATTTGAACCTCAAGCGGCTCTGTGAAGCACGGACCATCATTATGAACCTCATTCTGCAGACAAACTAAGCATGACTTAGAGACCTGAAGAAGCCCCTCAGGGAAGTCCTTCTGGGTAGAGCTCACTAGAGACCCTGCGTTCCTACCCACTGAGTTCTTCCCTCTCTCCCTGGCCAGGTGTGATGGCCGTGTTGGGCCTGAACCACACTACCATGTCTGAATTCATCCTCGTTGGCTTCTCTGCCTTCCCCCACCTTCAGCTGGTGTTCTTCCTTTTTTTGTACCTGTTCACGCTGCTGGGGAACCTGCTCATCATGGCCACCATCTGGGGCGAGCGCAGCCTCCACACGCCCATGTACCTCTTCCTGTGCACCCTCTCCGTCTCCGAGATCCTCTACACCTTCGCCATCATCCCGCGCATGCTGGCCGACCTGCTCTCCACCCACCGCTCCATCGCCCTCACGGCCTGTGCCAGCCAGATGTTCTTCTCCTTCATGTTTGGGTTCACTCACTCCTTCCTGCTCACCGTCATGGGCTACGACCGCTACGTGGCCATCTGCCACCCCCTGCGCTACAACGTGCTCATGAGCCCCCGTGGCTGTGCCTGCCTGGTGGCCTGGTCTTGGGCTGGTGGCTCAGTCATGGGGCTGGTGGTGACAATAGCCATTTTCCACCTCACCTTCTGTGGACCTAATGAGGTCCACCATTTCTTCTGCCATGTGCCACCTCTCTTGAAGTTGGCCTGTGGGGGCAATGTCTCCGCCGTCGCCAGGGGTGTGGGGCTGGTGTGCATCATGGCCTTGCTGGGCTGCTGTCTCCTCATCCTTCTCTCTTACGCCTTCATCGTGGCCACCATCCTGAAGATCCCCTCAGCCGAGGGCCGGCACAAGGCCTTCTCCACCTGTGCATCCCACCTCACTGTAGTGGTCGTTCACTATGGCTTCGCCTCTGTCATCTACCTCAAGCCCAAGGGTCCCCAGTCTCTGGAAGGAGACACCCTGATGGGCATCACCTACACGGTTCTTACGCCCTTCCTCAGTCCTATCATTTTCAGCCTCCGGAACAAGGAGCTGAAGAATGCCATAAAGAAGACCTTCTTCAGCAAACTCTTTCTCCAGAGCTCCTGAAGTGGGTGGTTTTGTGGCAGGGGATGTGGTGGGTGGAGACACCTCAGTCTCCTGTCTGTAAAATGGGTATAATTATGCTTCACTGGTGACGATTCTTACATGTGAACTCTCCTTACCTTTACCCATAGTCAGTGCTCTGTAAATTCTAGATGTTTGCTTTCTCTCCTTTTCCCCAGTCTGGTTAACCTCATTCCTCCTGGATTCACTGGGGTCATGGCCTCCACAATATTGACTCATGTGTCAACTTCTTTCTGTTTCCATGACTGAGGGTGGCATGGAGGAGAGGGTGCCCACATCAGTGTGTTGGGGAACTTGTGTGCAGGGTTTATCACTTGAATGAGTGAATGAAGGATGTTTGCTCTGCTTAAAACAACAACAACATAAACAGCGACAGTGATTTGGTGCCTGCTGGGTACCAAGCATCATGTTGTATGCTCCAGACACATCATCCCTCTCATTCTAACCATTGTTTTAAGGACAGGAAAGCATTTTTAATGGCAAAATGGTTTTTCATTCTCAGTTCCTCACAGTTTTGCAGGAAGGGTGTCTTCTCCTATGAGTGGCCTCTGTTGACTGAGCTGAATGACAGGTCTAAGGATACAAATTACAAAGAGAGAGAAGGGATCTGAATTTCTCCTTGGGAGAAAAGAAATGTAGAGAGATGAGGTGAAGGCATAGAAGAAGGATGAGGAGGCTGTGGATGGGTTGAGGGAAAGGGAAGGGACAGGAAGAAAAACCTGATTCCTGGCAATTGACCCAGACCCAGTGGCTGGTGAAGAAATTCAAGGAAAAAGCAAAGATGTAAATGGGCATTTTGTAAGGTTTATAAGGTTGCCATAGAGTACTTGATGTAATTCCCCTCCCCTGACACCTCTGAAATTCTCAATAAAACTTTGTTTCTCTTTCATGTGTTATGGAGTCAGCTATATTGGCGGGGGTGTGGGGGGCGGGTATGCATGTGCAAGCTAGGTCCTGTTTTAAGGGAGGTGCTCAGGTGGAGTCAGGCAGCCCCTTTTGGGTTATATCCCATTTAAAAGTGAAGAAATGGACACAGTGAGATTCAGGACTTGCCCAGAATCACAAAACCAGTGAGGTGCAGGGGTACAGTATGAGGTTGGCCAAGTCATCTTTGGCAGTGGATCTCCAACTTGGGGGCACATCAGAGTCAGGGGGGAGCTCTAGAATATGATGCTCTGGAATAGATGCTGCTTCTGGTGATCTGGGGGTGACACTTTGGGACCACTGCTCTATAGAATCTTTAGCTCAAATAAAGCCAGATATTTGAACTGGAAGCAGAAGTAACTTTCTTTCCTTTTTCTTTCTTTCTTTCTTTCTTTCTTTCTTTCTTTCTTTCTTTCTTTCTTTCTTTCTTTCTTTCTTTCTTTCTTTCTTTCTTTCTTTCTTTCTTTCTTTCTTTCTTTCTTTCTTTCTTTCTTTCTTTCTTTCTTTCTTTCTTTCTTTCTTTCTTTCTTTCTTTCTTTCTTTCTTTCTTTCTTTCTTTCTTTCTTTCTTTCTTTCTTTCTTTCTTTCTTTCTTTCTTTCTTTCTTTCTTTCTTTCTTTTTCTTTCTGCTTTCTTTCCCTCCTTCTTTCCTTCTTTCCTTCCCTCCCTCCTTCCTTCCTTCTTCCTTCCTTCCCTCCTCATTAATGGTTATGCTGATAACAGCTTCCAACTTTTTGAACATTTATCATCAGCTAGGTATGGTCTTCTTAAAAATAGCTTTATTGAGATATAATTCACATACTACATAATTCATTCACTTAAAGACGCGAATAATCACCACCACAGCCAATTTAGAACATTTTTATAACCTCCAAAAGAAACTCTATACACTTTAGCTAGCGCCCCTCCTGCCTCTTTACCCTCTTCCTTCCAGCCCTAAACAACTATTAATCTGTCTCTATAAATTTGCCTGATCTTGACATGTCATATAAATGGAATCATATAATATTTAACCCTTTTGTGTCTGGTTTCTTTCATTTACCATATGTTTTCAAGGTTTATCCACATTATATTAGTACTCTCATACTTTTTTATGGCTGAGTAATAGTCCATTGTTTAGATATACCACATTTTATTTATTCATTCACCTGCTGATAAGATATTTGGGTTGTTTCCAACTTTTGGCTATCATGAGTGATGCTGCTATAAACATTCTTGTATTGATTTTTGCCCAGACATATATTTTCATTTTGGAGTATATACCTAACCCCAGTGGAATATGGGTCGTATGGTAACTCTATGTTTAATAATTTGAGGAACTGCTAGAGTGTTTTCCACAGTGGCCGCACCATTTTATACCCCCACCAACAGTGTATGAGGATTCCAAATTCTCCACATCCTCACTAACGCTAATTTATCCAACTTTTTGATTACAGCCATTCTAGTGGTACCTTATTATGGTTTTGGTTTGCATTTCCTTAATGACTAATGATAATCATAAATGCTTAACAAGTCAGTTCTTTCATTTCACAAGGAAGATCAAATAATTAGTTCCCTTTCGAAGATGAGAAAACTGAGATATAAAGAGATTAAGTCTATTAGTGAAAGGTCTGGCCCCTGAAGTGGAAAGATTAGAATTCTTTAAGTCAGAGCTGGGGTTCGAAAGCATACATTTCTCAGGGGTTTAAAGGGGAGGAAACCCTTCTGTCCCAGGAAGGGATAAAGACCTGGATTGGAAAGAAGAAAACAATTTTAGACAGCACCAAGGAAATGATCCCAGGACCAGATATACGCTGTTCTCAGGGGAGTTAGGAAGAAACACCTAGCATGAGAGAATTGGGGGGACATGTCATAAGTCTGATAAAACCCGCTATAGGGTCTTTGTGTTTGGTTTTCATTAGCAGATGTATCAATATGGAAAAGATGGTCATGTTTAAACATGAAGTTGTTTGTCCTAAAGAAAATGGTGACTCCTTTTAATTTAAAGCCAGATTCCTGAGTTATATTGAGAAGATCCAATGTAGTTAATTAGAAATATTTTGAGACATTCTTTGCCTCCCCTATAAATTTTGAAGGAGTCCCAGGTGGTAAGAATTGTCCCTCTTGGAGTTGTCGTGTATAAGGAATATTTAAGTGGCCAGCACAAGTCCTGGAAGAAATCTGAAAAATCACCCCTCTGCTTAAACCCTTAGGATATAGTACAAAATCTAGTGTGGTTGGGTCAGCACTTCATCTCCAACTCTATTCCCCCAGCGCTTCCCAGCTCTCAGGCCCCACTAGCTCTCTGGCAGTTCCTGCAATAAACCAAGCACACTCGGACCTCAGGAACTTTGCACATGCTGCTGCTTCTACCTGGAGCACCCTTTCCCTTCTCCTATACATCTTTAGATCTGACCTTAAATGGCACTTCCTCAGGGAAGCCTGCCCTGATTTCTAGTGCTCTTTAGCTGATCACTGATCTGCAGACATCTTGAAACACAACAGTTGTCATGTAAAACAGGCAAGAATCAGACTGTGAAAGAGCTGATGGCAAAGACAGCTTCTAGGTTATATCCAAGAAGCATCAGTGTGGTTTCCTGTGGTCCTCAGAGGAAACATCAGCTTGTTCTGGTTTGGTTGACCAATGTTGGTGCATTTTGAAGTTTAAATAAACCTTATTTTTACTCTTTTATTTTAGTTAGTATTAGTCATTTTGTAAATTTAAAACTACCAAAGAAGTCGAACTTTGTTAACATATGTTGTTTCTATAAATGGCATATTCTAGACCCCAAGGACTGGGCCAAGGCACGATGTGTGAAGCAAGGTTGTAAAAATGCAGCTTGTATCCTGTCTTTATTTAAAACATTGATGTATTGTTTGTCGTGAATTTTTGCATTAATTTTGATTTTAAAAATATTGCATTAAATAATATTTATCTTGATCATTACTGAATTTTTTAATGACTCCTTAACTTTGGTGGTCAGGGGGGTGCTTCATTTGCCTAACCCTAGATTCTCCCACTACCTCCCACAAAAAAAGAAAGAAAAAAAAACACCTTGCATTTCTTTTCTCTTAAAAGACTAAAAAATAGAAGCCACCATTAACATATCTGGTGATGGAAATAGTAATAAGAGCTAAGAGATCAGTATAAACACATCCAGTGTCTTGGGGTGATGACCCCCACACCACAGCCAAGCCCCTCTGCCCACTAGTGTCAGCCAAGACGCCCACCCACAGGGGCCCTGTGTCCCTCTCCACTCCATTATTCAACTTCTACTTTCTGAAGGTTCCACCATCCCCTGCATAACTAGCTGTTTGCCATTCTTGGCTAATGGTCCCCTCTGTGACATGTTCTTTGGTATCCCCAAGGCAAGGTCAGAGCCCAGAGAGGTGATTAAAGGGCCTGGAGCATGGAGGAGGGCTGTTGATGGGGAGATCTCCAGACTTTAGGGGACCCTTCTCCCTGCACTAATTGGAGCCCCCCGAGTTTTTTATGCTAATTGCTGGAGGCAAAGGCAAGCTGGAGAGAAGCAATTTGCTGCCTTCACCTCTCATCTTTTGCTCTTCCAAAATGTTGACCCCTTCCCCGTCACTTGTGGATGAAAGTCCAGTCCCCTCCTCAAGGGCGTTTCCCTTCTTCCCCACCCCAAACCCCCAGGCTGTCTCTACCCCGCAGCCAGAGAGACCTTTGTAAAGGGAAACTCTGAAAGATCACCTCTCTGCTTATACTCTTAGGTATAACGTGGTTGGGTCCGAGTTTCACCTCCAACTTTATCCCCCAGCCCTCCCCAGATCTCCAGCCTCACTAGCTCCCTGGCTGTTCCTGCGATAAACCAAGAATGTTCAGACTTCAAGAACTTAACATATTTTGCTTCTTCTACCTGGAATACCCTTCCCCTACTCTTACACATCCTAAGGACCAATCTTAAATGTCACTTCCTCAAGAAAGCCTTCCTTGATTTCCCCATACTGAATCATCACCCCCACTATAAGTCCTCATAACAACTTCTTTTTTTTCTCATAGATTTTTATCACAATTTATCATGTATGTTTATTAGTGTGATTATTTGTTTAATATCCACATCGTCCCCCTC